ATCTGAATTTCTCATTTTCGCGCTGGAAGTGCCCATTTTTATCTTCAGATTGTATTTCCCACTTGGAAGAACCTTAAATGTCATTAGTTCGTTCCCACTTTTAATACTCTATTTCACGACATTTCCCAAAAACATCTTTGCACTGTATATATACGATTGAGTTGTGCGCTTGTTTGTTTTTGATTCCGATTGCTTGTGAAATATACTTTTCCCTCGTCTGAATCTGGTCTTCTCCCTCTAGTTAGCAGGGCTAGGAAGCAGTGAATAATTTAGCTTGTCACGTTGTTGTTTTGCTGATCCTTCGTTTCATTTGCCTATTTTAGATGATCTCATAATCTTTTCGAAAGTAGCAGCTTACCAAAAATCTGTGTCATCAATATTAGTATCTTTGAACAAATTTCACAGGATAAAAATGGTATATTTAACGTGTTCACTTGTTCTCAATTTCCTGAAAAGGAGCATGAACTCGTGCATCAGCCTAAATCAGCTAATTTAGTTTTAAATACATCTTCACATATGTTGAATAAACTCTATGGAACTAAACAGTTAATCAGCTAAGTTAAACAATCCCTAAGTTGTACGTTATTTGTAGTTGGATCTTGAAATTATCAAGTAAATACATACAAAAATAAGTTTACTTTTTGTTTTTATAAAGTAATTGGGGTTATTTATAATACTTCAAAAACAATCATACCTTACAATATCTAAACTATCATTGTTCTCAATAGCAGTGAAGGACTTTTCTATCGATTTACTTCAATATTATATATCTCCGCTGTTTAAGCAACAAATCATGATACGCTTAAATTTCCTAAATAATAACAAACAATCTACCAATAAATGAGCTTACATTTTGACTTATTCTATAACTTTATTATGTTGGCTGAATAACTTGAACGGCGAATAGAGTTTCTTTTTAACTTATCAGACTTAGAAAGCGAAATCTTGTTTAACATCTGTTTCTCGATTTTATTCGCAGATAATAAATTGATCTGTTATCAAAAATGACCGAGGTTACCATATTAGCCCAATGCGTTCATTAACTAGATGGTAAAAAGAAAGAGAACAGACGACTAGATTTATTCTTAGATCTATATGTTTTAGTAGAAATTGGTTAGACAATAAAATTCACTTTTATAATTTTGTAAACATGCAAAACAAACGTATCAGTAGTGAAATTAGTATGAATCGAATCAGTGAAGAGATGGTCATTATATTTTAATAATAAAAAATAAACATCGTTGGAAACAAAACACCCAAAGTATCGTTGAATAAAAAGAAATAGGTAATCCTTACGAATGATTTAAAGAGATTGGGTCGAAATAAAATCATTTATTTTATGAAGTAACCAATTCATCAAATGTTCGTTGTCTTCTAACCACTGTATCACACCTAATTGCATACGAAAGTCAGACAAGATTTAAAGCCTAGAATTTACTATTAAACTTTGCTGGCTGAAGTAAAGTGCCTGCTTTCGCCATTTCAAGATCAGTTACTGCTGATCTTTAAGAATGCTTCTAAGAACTAAAATTGACTTTGTATAACTAATCACATAAATATAAATTACTAAAGCATTAAAATGATTTATTTCCTAAACCATGCAAACAAGTATGGTTATGGTTTTGTTTTAATGAAGTTATTAAGCTGGTTTTTCATTTCACCACACTAAAGTTATGCTGATTTTGGTGTTAGATCGTTAAATTCTTTCTCTACGATCTGTTCAGGTCTGTGAAAAATTCATCGCTTTCCATACAGGATTGTTAATATTAAAGGTCAATATGTGCTTTACTCATGTATCATCCACAGTGTGCATCAATCTACGTATATCTTACAGACTAGATCACTGGTGACGAAGAGAGAAAGGCCTACATTAAATTTTTTGAATATGTTCCAAAGAAATCTGAGCTAAATGCAATTCAGAGAATTCAACAGTATGATCTGTAGATATTGCATTTATATAAAACATCTGAGACATACCTTTTTCAGGGCGACTGACAAATAACAAACTTGCGACCATCTCAAATATTTTTGAACTATAAAATGCTTCAAACGTGATTTATTTATTCACTCCTGGATTACATTACTATTTATACAATAAAGTTGAAAGTAAAATTGGCCAAACGAATAATTAATTAAAAAACATTTGGAAATCATTTTTAAAAACAAGAAAGATGATGGACTGATTATTTTGGATTTTTCTTATAAACACTTATATTCCATAAGTTTTTCAATCTCAATTCTACATGAAGTGTATAAGTTTAAGCCCACATTTTACCCCTCTATGGAAGTATCCAATTTAATTTTATCATCGAATCACTCAATGGTTAGAGGAAGTATTGGAGATAGTTAAAAGGCAAGTATCATTTTATTATATTATGTAGAAGTAGTAAGTCTCCTGATACTTCTGCTACAGTGATTACATTATTTAATTTTAGTTTAATTCATTTAATCATATCTTTGACAAAAACTATTTGTTCTATTTGTAATTAAATCAATCCACGTGAAAATGAATTAAAATTACCATGTGATTTTAGTAGACAATGGTTCAGCACTTGGATATACAGTTTAGTGTTAATAGCAAAATGAAAACAAATCATAATAATAAGAAGAAAAAGATGGAGAAGAAACAATTTAGCTGTTTGGCAAGCCCTATGAAAGAGACTGGTTTATGTTCAAATTAAAGATCGATCAGTTTTTAACTCAATTATTAATAAAAGCTTTAATATTTTGATTAAATATTTCTATGATACATTTGTAATCTGTAATGAAAATATAAACCAATTCGATGTTTTCATTAGTTCAACACTTACTATTTATACTTAAAATTTAGTTTGAAAAAGAAAAAAATAGATGTACTTTTTATGGTGAATATTAATCAATACTTTAAAGAACCTATCTAGAGAAATCGATTATTGAATTTTCAGTTGAACAACTTTTCTAGATAGATACCTTTCAATACAAAGCAATAGAGGTTATTCAATCTCTGTTTTCAAATATCCTTGGTACAAAAAGTATCAATGAAGAAATAGGTTGTTTTTTTTTAAACGAAAAAAACGGTAAATTGAAAACAATCACAGCAGCTATTATATAGAGTTAACAATTTCATAAACTAAAAGTTGAAAATATCACTATAAACGTAGTATTATAGTACATGATAAGAATAATCCTGTTAGCATAATTTCATATCAACTTATATGCATTTAGTCTATAGATCAGTAAGTGAAGACAATTTCAGTTTCTAGGATCGTTAACAATTGAAATCTATGGCAAGAAAATAGTTTTGCTTAATAAGTTAAGATAAATCAAGTCTATGAGTGGTAACTAACACTGAACATTGTAGACTATTAGACTTGTTTAATACTCATCTATTTAACATAGATTGTTAGATTAGATTATTTCATCTTAACAATTTGTGTATAAACAACAGGACAGATATAATAAAATCAGCTGACTAATCTGTCTCTTATAAACTAATTGGTTTGAATTTAGTAACTGATCGCATGAGCGATTTATGGGATTACCGACTTCATGCATTCTGGTTGATTTCTTAGTCCATAAACTTATTACATGAAATTTTAATGCCCCCAAATGTCCTGATATGGCCGAGAGTGGGGTGGGTTCGCCCTCCTTCTCGAAATGTTCTCACACGACCACGCGTATATAGCCTCTGCCAGGGAACTCCTGCTCACTGCCTTCTCGTGGCATTACTGTTGTTTACGAAAATGAGAAGACAAAAAGCGAATGTCCGGCGCTTTAACCGGATCCAAAACCAATGGTTCACATGGGCTGGCTCCAGTATCCTGAAGGAACAAATGGCGTACGAACCAATCGTTGGTCACCAGCTTCCATGGGACTGCATCTCCTTACGATGATCCACTGCCTTGTGGGTTAGACCTTTAGGTCAAAGGCTCGCGATGTGGCCCCCTAAGGAAACCACCTGCTTTGGTTTGGGCACCCGTGCAGTATCACAGCCCTCACACAAATAAAATGGAAATTTGTGTGGCGCATATATATTTGGTGCCCTCTTGTGCCAATATTTATGTGTTCAAATAATAATTATAATAGTAATAATGATAATAATAATAATAAACTATATTTAAAGTAGGGTCCGTTTAAGTCCTTCCTGATCTGGATTAAAAACCTTAGTTTACTGTTTTTCAGAGATGGAACTAAACCAGTCAAGAAACAAAAATTCTAGCTCTCAATTCTCATTTATTTCTAACATAGATCAATCACTTAAAGTTATCTGAAAATAATCGTTCTTATTCTCAGACTTCCATGATATTAAGATCATTTCAAAATGACTCAAGGCACCTGTATAACAAATCAATTCACCAATCTAATTCCTTCTTTATTTGTCTTTCAATAAGTCTGTAGTTTCGTTTTGACCTCCGATTTAATGTAATCATTCGATGTCAGTATATAGTGCAAAGTTTAAAAGTAGAGACTAGTTTTAAGCGTTCAATTGACAAAATATGAAAGTTTCCTCTATTTAATTTTTTTCCTATAGCTTCATCATTTTCAACGTATAGTCGATTTATTGGTTATGATAATAAGAATTCTAACTACATTGTTATGCTTACTCACTTATTTAGTTACCTGTACCAAAACAAAATAGCACATCAACCTTTTAATTTCTATTCATCCAATCAGATTACAGTAAAGAGTTTAATCCACTCAGGATTCTATCCATTTGGTCATATTGACAGATTTTATATCAAAGAAAATAGCTAAACACGATTGGTCTATATTTAGACATGTTACTACATGGTGATAATAATTATCTTCTAACAGTATAATAACTAAATCGGCCTAAATACTGTTTGTAATTATTAAATTTAAATTGTATACAAACGTTTATATTCTACGTTTCAAAACTGTTACGAAAGTGATATAACGACATATTAGTCATTCTAATTTATATAGAGGTTGGAATTTTCAAAATAAAATCTAGTTATTTGAATTGTGTAGTCATCTGTACTTCCGGGTAAAACTTAAATATGTCAGATACATTATATAAAACAACTGGAATATTATTTTCTACGGTGATTTTATTGTCTTTCAGAAATGGTTAGTTATCGTATGGTTTCTTATTTATTTACAATCGTTTTAAATATTTATGACATTGAATATCGATGCTTTGGATAAATATTAATTTTGGATTTATGTTAGTTGATTATAGGGTTTTCTATTCTAGACTACTGATTTTATTATCTTTCTATGGTAGACTAGAAATATGATGTGATGTAGCACTTAAGTGAATATTACTGAACATGAACATATAAATTTTCTGTTTTAAGTTCTATAATGATTATAATTTCATAGTTTATCGTTTCAAGAGAATAGCCAGCATATATAAAGTACCAATTATAGAATTGTTTATGTAATAATAGGTTTCAGTCAAGCAATAATAACTATCCTAAAGGAGGAACGTTAATTTACTTATTTACTGGATTCTTTTAAAGGGCTCACAACATGAGAATAATTACATTTCAACTATTAGAAACAAGTGTATATTCTTTGTGCAAAATTTACAAAAAACGTCTAAATTAAGACAGGGTCTAACTTGAAAATAGATTTATAAAAAGACAATAATTGTGAGCGAATCAAAAGATCGTCTATACAATTATCTATTTATTAATTAACCGTATGAACGTTTTAAAGGAAAAAAAAACTAAAAGCATGGATGACGGTTTCTACAAATGGAAACTAGTGTTGTAGTCCACATAATACCAAGTACGCAGGATATTGATTAGCTGAGAAAAGATCAAATACGAAGTAAAAGTGAAGAAAAATTAGTTTTATATTGAAGACATAAATTCCCATCTTATGTCATAAATTAATCAAAAGTGAGGTCACTACAGCAAAGTAAGTTTGACAATGATATATTTTGGAGTACATAGATTTAGTTAGCTTTTGACAAAGATAGCTCCAGAAACCGTTAAGTTGATGTTTATTTTTCAGCCTTACCATCGTGCTAACTAACTATCAAATAACCAAACACATTGTCGTTTTAGTATATATTTTTATAAAATATGTTCACATACTCAAGCAATAACATGTCCTCCTGTCTGTGGTCTTTTTTAATGCATATAATTGAACAAGACTGTTGTTTTTGTTTAACTGAAATTGCTTAAACGAAAGAATTTTGTGGAATAACACATTGGATTAAGTGAATTTCTACTTTGTGACAAACTGGTTTATTGGAAACAGAAAATCATAATTCAGCAAACTTCATTAAAAAAAAAAGAACTAACCTCATTTACAACACAAATTTACAAGATAACAATTTTTGAGAATTCATCTTAGCTTACTGAGTGATATTCACCCAAAACAAAAAAAAAAAAAATACAAGCGAAATGGAATTATACCTACTTTTAGTGGTGTTTGAAAAACTGGGAGTTATAACTAGAAAATTGTCATAAACCTCTTAATATTTTGATTTCATTATACACCTAGAAATTTTAAATTGATCTATACATTATGGAGTTGAAAAAATATAAGTCACACAGTTTAGCGTAAATACTGTGCATTCACTAAATTGTCAATAATATGACATGTTTTTAGGTATCAATCCTAAGGTTGAACTGGATAGTTTCAAATAAACTGAACATTGGCTAGAAAGTCAATAATAAATTTATTGTTCTTATATCCTAATCAGTAAGAAAATTGTATTTCTGACATTTCGTGACTTGATGTAAGCCACTTCTTCAGAGTAAATAAATAACATATTGATCGATCGAAATACAAGTATCTCCTTTGAGTTTAACTCATAAATCCCAACTTATTATTTTTTCTATCTATTCAGAGGTTTCATTGGTACTCAGATATATATATATATATATATATATATATATATATATATATATATACTTGTATTTCGATCGATCAATATGTTATTTATTTACTCTGAAGAAGTGGCTTACATCAAGTCACGAAATGTCAGAAATACAATTTTCTTACTGATTGGGACATAAAAAATATTTATTTATTTATTATAAAATATTGTTATTCTATATGTAATTAACTAATGGAATGATAAATGATATCAGTAAACAGTATGAATACTCATCAGAGTGTGAATGATTATTTTAATGCTTAGTGTGTTGATTGATAAAGAAACATCGTTTAAATGTTTACGAAACTAATAGCTATAATGGTTTGAGGATTGAGGTTTTAAAATTGAAACTTATGTGTATATGGAAAATATCGCCACTATCTTTTTCTCCATTCATCACTTTTACACGATATAAATATGACTAAATTTCATTATGAAATTCGGTTAAACGTATATCTTTTTCTTTACTAAAAAGCTAAATGCAATCAGTTTATTCATATACAGTTTTATATAAATTAATAGTTTCTCAGTGAACTAAAGGGATCTGTGACAAATATGACACCAAATAAAGATAATTAAATTATCCGATTGGTAAATTAGTACCACTCATAAAGAATTTCAAACTAAAATAACATTAAAGGTAAATAGAATTAATAAAGGTATACAACACAGATAGGTTATCAACCGACAGTTGATAAGATTTCACATGATTATGGGATGGTTTTGTTCAGAAATTTAATAACGATAAAATTTACCTAAAATCTGGGCAACAGATCCATTTAAACAGGATCTCAGGTAATAAATTTTAGTACACCTTGATTCTATCCTTGATTGGAAAAGAAAGACTTAGGTAACAATATAGGTTATTAAAAACATAGCTTCGTTCGTTTACAAGAAATTGACTGGATATATGTATATATACCCGAAAACGAAATCTGCATCTTTGAACAAAGACAACTCCAAATAATTATTTATACAAGTTTCAGATTAGTTATGTTCACATTCCCGAAAATCTCCTATCGCATGTTTCTTCGTATTTTTTCTGTTGACTAAATATGTTTTACTTCATTGTGTAAATAACATCTGATTAAACCCTTATTTTAAGAAAATAAGAATGAAGCTGAGCATATATCAGCAACGTGAAGTATACAAAACTAAACGAGGAAGTGAAACCGAAATTATATCATAAGTCATTATTATTTTATTGATAACCATAAGGATACAAAAGCAACATACAGTGTCAGTCAGTCAGTCAGTAACAACGTGGAACTTCGTACGTACGTATATCAGTTCCAGTTGCCATACCACATTAGCACATATATTCAGTTATCGATTCAAATCCCGTGGTGGTAGAAGTAGTGAAAGTATAAGTAGAGATAGGGAACATTAGGGTTTGATGATGTTATTCAAAGAGTATAATCCAGTGAAATAAATTTGGAAAGAGGAAAAAAAGAACATGAAGAATTCAGAAGACTAGAATTTGGGAGAACACAAAGAGTGGATACACCTGCACCATTGCAAACGATCTTGAGCCATGTCATTCAAGATCTCTAACCATCGGTTGCTATCGTCTCGCGGACCCCAACAAGGTTGTCTATAACTACCAACATGGCTCAGTCCACTTGTCAGTGACTTCATGGATTTGTGCCACGTTTTGTTCCAGACTACTTATTAGAACAAAAATGCTTAAGTAGAGTTATTATTTTAATTAGTATTGACTTTAAAATCAATCTGATAATCAGTCACTATCTAGTTTCTATCTTCATATATGTATGTATACATAATCACTGGAAAATACTCCTCTTAGAAAATAAACACTTAAGGTAAGACTACTACAATTAAAGTCTTACCACAAAATTATTTTACTGTGATTCAATACTCAACCGTAGCATCCATCCTTCGTGTCTTTGAGGAGCGAACGTACATTGTCTAAATCTTATAACGACTGTATTAGTGTTTACAAATTTAATACGAATGATTTCCCAATATATTTTTACTTCTATGAATTTGTACTGAAAGCATTTTTCAGTTTAGATAGGTTCCTAGAAATACTAGTTTAAATATGATGGTAATGCATTCATTTTAGTTGAATATATTGTATTACTTCATTCGGTTTATGATGAACAAACTCATATCTTAATTTGTAATTAAATTCCAGCTTCATTCTTGTCAGTCATTATAAATGCTACTGCTCCACTAAAATTGAAACTTCAAAAACTCCCTACATATCCATATTATGAAAAATACGTTACCAGTAAAGTTTTCAAACTATATAGTAACAGAAATTGTATGAGTCTCATTTCCGAGCGATTGGATCACTACCCAATCAAACCAATGTCATGTTATCTAATCCTTCAATAAGGTTTTTAGTATGGTTTCACTTGGCTGTATAAGAACATTGCACAGGGCTTTGTCTATGAGTTACAATCAGCAGGCATGTCTGAACTTACGCTTTACATAAGATTTTAAAAAATGTTTAAAGTGAAATCAGTGGTAACAAACAAAGAAGATTATTTCACTGTAATATAGAATCAGGTCACTAATAACAGACGACTTAGAAACCGAATAACTATTGCTACTACCTTTAATTGAAAAAAAAAAGATGTTTGAATCGGTAAATTAACCATAATTACACAAAGTGTTTTTGTCTTTTGATTCGTACCAACAACAGTATATATCTACTCTCATTTTCTCTATTCATTACCACAATAACCTAAGTTATAAGTAAGTTTCGCACACCTACCTAAATAAGTTGATATTTTATCCTACAAATAACAGTGAAAATACCAGCAATGTTTTTCATAGAACAGAAACAGTTCTTCGATTTAAGCCTCTTCATCAAATACAATGAGCTTACAGTCACGACGGTTAGCATGATTAGAAACAAAGGTTTCATGTACTCTAGTTAATAAAGTTAGGATGGATGTTCGAAATAGGACAATAAATCTTAATTGAGAAATTGATGCACATTTGAGTTGAAAATTTAGTCCCGCTATGTAGGAAAGGTAGTTTTTAAATCGCTTATAACCATATGAAAACTAGGTGGTTACATAAGTACATCGTAAAATTTCGAAAAATTAACTCGATGAGTATAAAAATAAAGTTATCTAATAGGTGAAGGTATTTCTTTGTAACTACCTTTAATAGGACAGGAAGGATTTTACTATATATTCCTTTTGTATATACAGGTCAGATCAGGAACGTTTACAGATTATGACCTAAATATGGAGGATTAAAAGTGTCGTTTGTTATTCGTTAAGTACTTTGAGTAACTTGCAGACATGCACATCATAACTATAAAGCATAAATTTCTAAAAGCGTTTCGGGAAATACAATGTTATTCGTGCTACATAAAAATTGGCTCTGATTTTGTAGAGAAACAATTATGGCTTCGTAGAGGATATAGTTACTCTTACTTTGTGAGAGTTTAAACTCTAATGATCTGTTTCTTATTAGATGTTCTACTATGAAAAATCATCACACCGGGAAAGCAAACTGAAAAAAGCAGGCCTTTTTAGTGAAATGAAATGTAAAGAGGCTATTAATATTTAGCCTGTTATTGTATCTCATCAACATGAGCATAAAGAGAAACATCCCCTCTCCTTTGAATACAATCAATGGTCAATGTTTAGATTTTAAGTTGTTTCAATAATTTAGTGAGTAAAGAAATTGAAAACAAACATGATCATAATTAATAGACTAGTTTTTAACACAAATATGCATTAAAATCACTCAGATGCAGTTGCATTCATATGATGCTTCCTGGGCATAATAAAACATCTATCCTAATTTCCTTTGTTGATCACTCTCCATTTGTATTTTTAATGTATTTAAGGTAATCCAGTAGTATAAAAGATTATTATCCGTCTGAAGACAGTAAACATGATAACACTGATGATGACAGTGATAAGAATAATAATGGTATAATATATTTCCTTTTTCATTATTAGTATCATGGACAAACTGGGATACATATTCACAGATCAATGACTTCATCTAAACTTTTTGATCACCATCATTTTTTTACGATACTAAGGACTACGATACAAAATAAGGAATCAACATGTGTTCTATTTCTTTTCGTTGATTAAGGTCATCTTGTCAGTTTGAAAGTGCAAACTATCAAACATATACATAAAATTTCAAAATTAGTCTATCTTGGTGTTCTGTGGGATGAAAAGTGTCTTGATGACATTTAATTATAAATAAAAAAAAAACATTTTCATAAAATTGGTTATGATGACATTGATGATTATTAATATTTCATTCATTTATTTGTTTTCATAATAATTAAAATGGTAACCATAGTTTTAGCTAGGATCAATAGACTTCTATCTTCTGATAGTATTCGGTTATAGTCGGTATGTGTGTTGTTTTATTCAAATTAGTGAATTGATACTTTTATCTGTAAAACTTAATATTGTGATTACCTCTAACTCTACTTTTTCTGTTTTTAATTCTGTGCTTGTTTAGAAATACTTTTGAGTATTCCATATGTGTTATGATTTAGAGTATAATAAATGAAAGGATTATTATTCAAGTCATAACATTGATTCAGACAGTTTAAGTACAACTAAGTATTCCCTGATGTAGTAAACACCACGATTTGAACTTAGCTAAATGACTATCAAAAACAAGGAAGCATCGAACAACTTTCCTATCCTAGTATATGACACCTTAGTAACGTGCGTTTGCAACCTAGTTAAAGATCGAAACCTGGACATACTAACGAGAGATTAACATTTAGACTACTGAGTTAGAGGAAATAAACAATATTTGAAACTGAGTACCGATTTTTGAAGGGATTAAGTTAGTGATATATATCACATAAATCCTTTCATTTTCAAAATGATATCGAGAATTCACTAAGTCTGATCTTTTTATGTAGCAGGATATTATTCTTATTCATGTATATATATATATATATATATATATATATATATATATATATATATATATATATATATATATATATATATATATATATATATATATATATATATATATATATATATATATTGACCAAATGATCGAAATAATTGCACCTTTAATTAACACATAACTCTTTGATCGAGTGTAATATAGCGACTTATTTCACTAGTCGAAACACATTTCAGTTTGAATTGAACTGCCTTCTTCTTATGTATTTACTATTATTGTAACATGTAGTGTACATTTTTTTTTTAGTTTTATCCGATACATACAAATCACTAAACTAATGAACTAGTTTTATGTGAATGTTTCTTAAAGAGAGCATCTACTGAAGTTCTATAAATTCTCGAGTTATTACCAGTTATAGTTCAAAAACAGAAATATTCACTACTTACCTTTTTTGACTGAAAAGGTGGATAAAAAAGAGCTATAGAACAACGGTATAAAAGTTTATCCCTAAAGTTCTTTAATATGACCACGTAAAAATTATTCTTCAATTAATTTTTGTTATATTAAACTGGCTATTTGTCTAATCGATTGTTGATTATGATCACATCTGTTCAGTATTAGTATACTTTTCTTATCAGATAGCTGACATAAAAATGATAAGCAAAACAAAATAGAAGACAGAACAAAAACAAAAAAAAAGCAGATTACATCAAGGCCCACTCTAACCATGTGATAACACCCAAAACCGTGATAACCAATTCTGTAAAGTAAATACATCATGTATTATTGCGTTCTGAGTGGTACTCACACAGCAATGTTGAATAGAATAGGATTTACCTGAATGAATATATATTTCTTAGGATTTGTCAACCTTTAATGGGGATGAAATAATTTAAACTATACACAACCCAGCTTCTATGTTATAAATTAATACACAGTTAAGAAAAAGAGAATTCAGCGAAGAAAATTTTCGACGAAATCATTTACTTAATATACGATTTATTTTGCTAGTGAAGATCTCCAATTTATACATTTAAGGAATAGTAAAGGATAGTTATTGTCTGATCATATAAGTGGATAACTAAGCTATAAGAAGTGTGTTACATTCCTGTATGTATGACAATAAATCCGCACGTAATCCCTCCAGGGTTAATGCCGATACCAAGCCGGAGTAAAAAGAGAAATTAATCCCACTTCACAAAAAGAAACCCCACTGAAAATTTGCTAAAACAAAGATCCACATAATCTCTTCCCTGTGAGGAAAATGGTCTTCTTATATAGGAAATTTATGATGTATCACGATGAAAGCCAAGATTCTTTAGGAACCACAAGGCTGATGAGCATTTCGACAACTGAAGCAAAGCTGCTATAGGTACGTGGAATGTTCAGGCAATGTGGAAGACAGAAGATCCTTCAAATAACTGCCAAAACAGGAGCATACAACTTGATCCTGCTTCAAATAAATGAGACCCATTAAACAAAATATGGACAGATAAGACTAACTTCAGAAGAGGTGTTATTGTATTCTGATTATGAAGAAAAAGCCATACACAAAGATTGACTTTGACTTTGTCCGAAGAAGTAAACTATGACGCAACCAAGGGTCTTGGAAGTAAAATAGTCCATTTAAAACAAGAAAGAAAACCGATCATTGAAGTTTAAGAGTAGCAGAATAAGTGGATAAAGTACTTAGAAGAGCTTTGGAATACAATAGTGCCTCTAAACACACCGAATATCGAAGAAGCACATACGGACCTACATATGAATGTCATCACAGCAACATCACTAAATCACGCTACTTTCAGTACCAGGCAACGTCTGCAACCAAGTGTTACCAAACGGAAAGAAAGGTTTAGTCAACCCCCAACTTCAAAACCATTAAACTGGCTTTCGTAAGCATCGATCATGTATCTACCGAACAGCGACACTGACGTTCCTTGCTAAAAGATCGATTGATGAAACTAATTACTATACAAGAACTTTCTTGATTATGAGAAAACATTCGACAACGTGGATAAAAAGACTTTTTAGAATCTTGTTTAACTCTATAAATGCCATTAATATCATACGAATCTCGTACAAAGGACTGGATTTCAAAGTTGTCCACGGAGAGCACATTACAGGTGTACTCTAATCGAAGGCGAGTGTTAGACAAAGCCACCTATTATCGGCTATCCTGCTTTTACTAGTTGTTGACTGGTTTATGAAGACCTCGAGATCCTAGTAGAATCACCGAATACAGTGGACACCTAGACGGAGCTGGATTATTTGAACTTGGCAGTTTTATCACATATTAAAAAAATACGGACGGAGACATTGAATGTAATATTTGGCTTCAGCAGAAATATGTTTTAGTGTTTACAAGGAAAAAGCATGGTTCTGAAGTACAAAGCAAATAGAACAGACCAAAGCACTCTATAAGGAGTAGCAAGATTAAGTAATTAGGTAAGTGATGTATAAGAACACTGGTAATACCAGCCTTCAATAGATACTGTAGGTTAAATTACAGTTATCTAATCAGTGGATGAACCTGATTGGTGTTCAGTATCCGAATCACTATTCCCATTCTAATTTTTTGATAGTTTAAAATTAAATAATCTCAGTTCCCAATTGTGAAGCAGGTGATCAGGTTCCTTGATGGTTTCTTCGTTGTCATATAGAAACTGGAGATATACCAATTTTTGTTTACAATTGTTAGTAGTAATATATGTTGCTCCCAATCTACCAGCTTCCTAAGTTATTGATGGTTAAAAGAGTCCGTATGAGTGAAACATTTGATTCGGCAATGCAAATGACAGTGTAAGAAGCTATTTTACAGACGCCATAGAAATAATTTTACTCAATTCCCATATGTCCATAGCACTATATAGTGGTATATTTTGTGATAGTGTCTAATTGTACGTTAAAAATTCCAAAATCACAATTCATTTTTATTCCTAATTTTAGTACATAAATCAAAGCATAGAAAATTAGAAAAATTTTATTATTCATTTAGTTAATACTTCAGCGTTTATTATGGAGAATCACTCGCCATCATTATTGAAGCGAAGCTGGGTATATTCAGATACGTATAACTGCGAAAAAATCTATAGCTGTTTCAATACGAGACAGTGTCGTCTGAGGTATAACTCACCAAATTATTTCTGTGCGAACATTTATCCCTGTGGCTCATCATGTGCACCACTGGATTATCATGTAAGTCTGTGATAATCTCTTCATTTTTTGTTATTTTAACATTTCCAAGTACTTGCCTATAGTAGTAACATCACCATTTCAAAAAACAAAGAAGTCAGTTTTTAATTACTTACGTCAGTTAACAACGGTGGAGGAGCGTAGACCACCCACAATGATTAGCTAAACAACTCTGTCCTGGGCTCTCCTTTGCAGCTATTTTCAAATGCTGTTCATTTCGTTAAAGTCTGCCTCCGATTCCCGACGTAATGTGTCCATTGATCTGCCCATTTTCTCCTTGCATTCAGGATTCCAAATAAGAGCTTGCTCCATGATGCAGTCTGAAGATTTCCGTAATGTTTACTCCACCCAGCTCCAGAGTCTTATCCTAATTTCCTCTCCAGCTGCACCTCTTTGATGATAACTGTAGTGGTTCAGAAAGTTTCAGCTCTATACAACAGAATAGTTTCGACGTTCGCATTGAAAATTCTGACTTTGATGTTGCCTGACAACTGTTTCGAGATCTATATGTTCTTCAACCGTAAGAATGCTCTCCTTTTTTGTCAATTCTCATCTTCACGTCTACATTAGATCCTTTTTGTTCATCGATGACGCTGTCCAGGTACGTGGAAGTTTCCGCCTCTTTCAGAGTTTCTTGATCAAGTGTGATTGTACTGGTGTTCTCCGTGTTGTAGGGAGACAGTGAGCAGCCTTGTCCGACACTGATCTTCACTTGGAATGTGACTGTCAGCTGTCCTCCATACACGACTTTGCAGTGTAGTTCGTCGAATGAATTCCGTATGATGTTGATGATCTTCTCAGGTACACTATATTGTCGAAGAAGGTTGCATAGAGTTCTCTTATCCACTCTGTCTAACGTTTTCTCATAGTCAAGGAAGTTGAATTGTAGTGACAAATTCCATTCAAGCGATTACTCAACAATGATCCGTAATGTCGTGATTTGGTCTATGAACGACCAACCCTTATGGAAGTTGGGTGTCTACTAAATCTTTCATTCGGTTCAACAACACTACGTTGAAAACTTTTCATGGTACTGATAGTAGTTTGACGCCTCTGTAGTTCTTGCACTTACTCAGATCTCTTTTCTTTCCAGTCTGTCGGCACTTGTTTTTCCTCCCAAATCTTCATGAATACAACGTGGAGCATGTTTGCAGTTACTTTTATGTCTTACTTCACTGCTTCAGCCGTCAGATCCTGCTGCTTTCCCACTCGTGATTTGTCTGATGCCCATGCTGATTTCTTCGATCGTTGGTGGAGTGACATCTGTAGGAGGGTCTGTGTGTCCTGCTTTGATGCTTGGAGGGTTCAGTGCTCTACCTACCAGTGCCGTTGTTCTTGAACCTCAGTGATTGACTTACCTTCTTTGTCCTTGACTGGCAAACAATATTTCCTTGATGGTTTCTTCGTTGTCATATAGTTGTCTCATATTTCCTTCTCTTGAAGTTTTTCCCACTGTCATTGATAGATCTTCCACACCCTTCCGCTTATCAGCTCTAATGCTCTTCTTTACTCGATTGTTTGCTTCTGTCTATTCGGCACGTACTTTGGCTTCCTCTGCTCTTATTATGCTGTTACTAATTGCTGTCTTTTTTCATTCTTTAATCCTGTGCAGGGTGTCGATAGATTCATTCCTTACAATGGTGCCTCTTGCTGCTCAGGACTTCATTGGACGTTGAGGTCACTGTTTCTTTAATCCCTTTACAGTTGTTCCCCATAGCAGTTCCCACTTCTTCAAGTAGATCTTGCGAGACTTGGAACCTGTTACTGAGAGCTATCTTGGATTCGTTAAATTCCTCAATATTTGGAAGAAAGGCTGTATTCAACTTTTGTAATGCTGTTTTTCCACTTGTTCAATGCTTCTTTAGCTTCAGATTCACCTTAGCCACAAACAGGTGATTATCTAATAGATATGGTTTATGTTTTTAAACTAAGACATTCTACATTTCTGATGTTTCAAGCAAAATTAACTGACGAACAATGACGAATAATCATTATCGAAGCTCCCACCTGAAGTTGTAATAATCATTTATTTCACTTGCAGCACGTTCAGGTTTCCGACTGTATGTGATCCATCTCTTATCTTAGTTGTGAACATGAAAAGTCACTAAACCACGATTCGAGTTTGCTGTATAAATAATTATTATTATGTTTCAGACATAGATACTGAGTTTATCGTCTTTAACGCAGTAATCATAATAGGCATATAACTACTTGATGAAGGATGTTTAAATCAGATGAAAAGTTCAGGCAAAAAGAGTATTCTATGAGATACTATTGTGTGACCGCACCAGCCAACAGTGTGGAATACGTATTATGGATTATGATTCACCACTTATTCAGGAATAATGTTATCTGAAGTAGGAAGATTCAATTGGCGAAACCTTATGGTGGTCAGACCCTAGACGAAACATAAAGAATAATAAAAATTGTAAAAATGTATTCATTTTTTACCTCGTGATTCTTGGACATTCTGAAAATCGATATTTGTTTCGCTTTTGAGACATGTAGGGAACGAGAATTTAGGTGGTTAAAACCAACTTATAGTTCTATGCTAAACTACAGAGTGCTTTCGTAAAATATGAAAATCATAAATTAAATACATCGTTTGCACATCTTTCAGTTGTCTTATACGTGCTTCATGATTCTTCCGATTCTGTGGTTATTGCAACTGCTCTCTATTTCTCTTCCTGTTCTCTTTAATTCAATCTTCTGCTGCCAGGTATTACGCTCTCGACTGTTGTTACATACTACTTATATCTGAGAACATAGCATGCAGCACATATATCCATACTGTTTACTTTAATAATGTCTTATTTTCATTAATTAGCTATTTGTATGATAATAGAGAATGTCACAAATTGAGGCCATGATCTTTGTATAAACTTTAATGTTAAGGTCTCTGTTTGTCACTTTACTATATCTAGTACGTTGATCATCTGTATAATTCCAACCCTATGCACCTAAGATTTCTGAGTGTTAGTATAATTACATTATAATCTGTTCATGTTCTCCTCTAAAGGCAATTTAGGATGGAACTTCAAAAATGTTGAACACACGAGCAGCTCAAATAATCGTTTACGTTTTAATCTCAGCTTGTCATACTAAACATCCACAAAAGTAATATATAATAAGTATCAAGAGACTAGTTAAATTTACCATTTCTGAAGATTACATGGTCAACTATCCATTTTGAGTTTTTGTTGTCTGCAGAATGAAAAATGACTGTGAAAAAATCGTGTAAAACAAAACATTCCCAGAGTTGGCTCCACAAAACACCCAAACATGGTATTTGAAATTACTTTTAAAAACAAACTATAAATAGTTAGCTAAATCTTTCCATACACTTACATATTCTTATGCATACACATACATATAGTGAGACTTAACCAGTTAAAAACCACATGAAAATGCAAGATAGTTTTGGTAGGTTAATATGTTCAGTGATTCAACGCCATACGTAACGTATGACCGTAAGAAAGAGGAACAATACTATGAGTAAAACATATGGTAAGAACGCAATCAAATGCAGCATAAACATACAAACATTTTCAGAGTGCAATTAAATATACGTCGTTCTAAATTTATCGTCCTGTATTAAAGTTGACTTATTTTCTCCGTCTGAGGGCTATTGTCGTTTTACCATGCTAAGTTGATCATCAAATGTTGGGACTTCTTCAATCGACAATTTCTCGAACTCGTTAGTTTCTCAGACCAAAGATATAAACTATTACAACCCCATGTTTGAATATCGGCCTGAACAAATAACCCCACAAAGCATAAAAATAGAGTAAATACATCACTACTAACTTTTATGCATATTTAGGTGTATATTCCAAAAGTGGTTCAGTATGTGAAAACTAGTTCACACAATAGAAAATGATAAGTAACTTAAAACTACTGGTATGGTTGTGAGCAAATTTTCTAGATCTTAAGATAATAAGATGTAGAGTCATATTTAACATTTTCCAATCATCATTTACTGAATACATAGTAAAACAGAGACACTCGAAATCATACTACTCGGCATGATGCTGTTCTTGGAATACAGAAATAAAACTCTCCGTAATTATATGAATCATCCGCAAATCAGTCAACTGTTCTAGGATTTGTTTCGTTTTTATAGATTCAATTAATATTATGTATGTTGTTTGGTTTAAGATTAGAAGAAGCCATCATACGGCTAGCCACAGTTCACTTTCCCAAGCTTTTACTGTATACATTTCCGAAATTCGTTTACAGTTTAAAAAAATTAAACAGTAGTATTATATTCCTTCTTTAGCATAACAGATGAATTATTTTTTATCAATTTAGGTGTTGTGGATATTGTCAAGTTTTTGATTGAGATCAGGAACCGATTGATGTTAGACCACCATTGAAAACCTGGAAGCACTGGACGGCCGTTTCGTCCTATTGTGGGACTTCCCAGCAGTGCGCATCCACGATACCGCTCGCGGGATCCGAACCCAGGGCCTTCAGTCTCGTGCGCGAACACTTAACCTACTCGACTACTGAGTGGGCATCCAACGGTGTTAAAGTGCGCATCGTGAACATTGACTGTAACTTGAGATACGTTCAGTGCATAAACTACAAGAAGAAATAACTACAAACATGCTTTGACTGTTTTGAATTTTCACGAAGCTGATTAGTAAAAATGACGTGCAATCGATAGTTGACTTGATTTCAACTGAAATATTTGGTATGAATACACTTAGTAATATTCATACACGAGGAATATGTATAACAAAGCATCATATTAACACTAAAAGTACGTATATACAATTTATTAATGCCGAATACTAACCAGTAAGCTTCAATTTTTAACAATGGATGCACAGAAATAGTTTTATGAAGAGAACTATTTGATAGAGTTAAATGAAGACAAGGTAAAAAAAAAGTAAAATTTTCAAATCTAATATGACTTGAAGAGTATTTTGATAATTATTGAGAAAACAATAACAGTAATAACGGTAATGCTAAAATATTCATTTCATAACTTTTTTTCAGGGACATTTAAGGTCATACGAACTCGCGACAGAATAGAAAAGTCAACAAATAAATTGAAAAATATCAACAGGTAAAACCTCATGTTAATAACAATCGCCTAAGACTATGACTTAACAAAATAAAGATGCAATATTATATTATTCACTTTTATAGAAGCAACTAAGATGGGGTAACAACAAGCCATTCAACTAAGATATATATTTTTTTCTTGATACCTATCCCTCCGAAGTTCCTTAATTAAATACAGTCCAAATCGAAACAATTTCATGTTTCCAGTTAATCTAAATTCAAAATAATAATAAGTGTTTAACTTAGACTATGAGATATAAAACCGAGTTGGATATGTTTGAAGACTTATATATTTTAGAAACTACCCAACAACAAATACTATCATCATTGTTGTTTGTGATTGACTGAATTCTAGCTTTAAATATTGAAGCGTAAGATCGTAAATTTAAAGGTTTAATTAAACATTCTACTCGATCAATAAGTATAATCTATCTAAGCTTCACCACATCTCATTTTAACGAAACGTGTCAAATAATTGATTGACAAACATATCAATTGTTATATGAAATTGTTATCACTGTTCATTGCCTGTGATTACAATGGCACTCACGTAAAATATAAGAAGAACTGACCGAATAACATAAAGTTTTGTGATTCTAAGCGAATTGTCTATTAGGTGTAATAAGTAGATGAGGATTTGAATAATGGATCAGTTCAGCATCTTTTGTTTTGAATCATTGTGAATGAAAATTAACTCAGTAGTTTGGAAAATTATTGAAGTCAATAATCACAAGTGGCCATTACCAAAGCCTAACAATAAATTTGAGGATAATTAGCCCATAGCACTTAATAAAATCGAACATTACAGTCGACATAAGATCCAAGAAACAACGATGAAAAATGTATTGAAAAAATCAAAACAGATAACCACAGAAAATAGTGTAATAAATCTATCAAGAAAATCATTATCCAAAACAGAACACCATATTCTTTGAAAAGGATTGTATTGGAACTTTAGGAATTCCACGAAAACAGAATCTATGGGTGATTTGAATAATCAGTCAAGACATCGAGATTAAACGAGTTAGCCCAAAAGAAAATACATCGAACCACAGTTTGTCTACTTATAAGCTAAACGCTCAGGAGCAAAGAGCACTAGGAACAAATCTTTCTATAGAATTCATACCACAACTGATGAGCAAGGAAAAACAGTTATGTTAGCACATAGGTTTGTTCCTTGTGACGTTTTCGATTGGAATGTCAAACATAAAGATAGAATAAATAACTCCTATAGGACTGATTGTATCAGGATTCTACTCATCAGCAATAATTCAAAGACTCGAAGCTACAGCTCTATAAAGAGTTAAATTAAATATATGGATACTTAACACAGATCACATAATTGTTATTCCCAAGAGAGAAAACTGGAAATCGTTCATCAGCTGACCAGCGACATCGATGAAATCGAATATGCAAGAGGAAAATCAGAAAAATAAAAACACCGATTTCCGATATCTTCGCTAGTACAACATATGGACTTTGGGTACATAAGAATATAAGGTGCTAAGCCATACAAACTAAATACTAAAAAACAATAGCAAAGATCCAACAGCGCATAAAAAACTGTAAATGGATATTATTCAAAAGGCGAAATTCATTATAGCATTGTCATTGTCCGAAAAGTTAAGGAAATTCATTTCGTTTCAGTATTGCGTAGAAAATGGAACGGAACTCAGTTTAGCATCTGATCGTCAGATACACAGATATAAATCCGACTTGTCAAGCTATGTGGAAAAGATCAATTAAGCACGTGGGTCAAAAGTTAACCGAACAAAACGTGCAATGGGAACCCAAAGATATGAGGTGAAACCTAGAAACACAACCAGTAGGAAACAAGGCCATCCAACCAAACTTGTTTAAAACTTCTGGAATAATCAAAAAGCTATAACATTTGAAGTAGGTCCTGATGATGCATGTAATTCAAACCGACATTTCCGAGAACGCAACTCTACGGAAATGTAAGAAGTTGGTTTAAAAGCACTGCACTGAAAACTATATATTAAGGAGCAACGTCGTCGCTCTGACGTTATCTCTAGTGCTGAAGAATGTTTAGGTCAGATAACAAATGAGTGTATGAGAAACAGATTGGTATGTTAGATGATCTGTTAATTTCCGCACAATACAACGCAAAACATGGCAGCCTTCAATACACTATAGTACTCTTTATACGCCTGAACCTCGTTAAGGTGATGTTTTGTAGGGACGTTCTGGAAAATAATTTAACTCTAGACCGAGGGTATACGATGCTCGTTTATTCTCTGGACATATATCCTATCAAGCTGGGTATACATATAAACGAAACAGGACCATAATAGTTATATTTTAGTAACTCGATATTGTGAATATTCAAAAAAAAACTATGACTGTACGAAATAACCATCAACTAATTTGGTCACATAGATGTTTTAAATCTCGTTGGTGTGAACGAAAGGATTAAATAGCGACAGAAACAAATTTGTGCTGATAATACGCGAATCGACAATCAAAAAGACTGCCACCCTCTGAACCCTAATGATCTATGGAATATCAGAAAACCGCCATGTATATGGATGAGGAGCTAAAATCCAACTTTACATACATTTCTAGGTAACCTAAAATAGTGAGAAATTCATTAAATAGTTTTTACTGATTGGCCTAGCAACATAGTAGGTTGCTTGATGACCTAAAATGTTGATTTCCATTTTAGCCTCCTTTTATCAGTGATATGTCCAGTAAATAAGGTTATCACGCTACTTGATAACTTATGCGGTGTCAGACTACTGCACCAAAGGATTTTTATAGGAATGTAAGCCCATTGCATGTTTTGTTGGCAGAACTGATAATTAATACTAGAAATTTAGAGCTAAACCGGCCGACATAACTGAGCGAAGACATGATACGTAACGGACTGGATTGAACAGCGCTGATGGACAGCAAATGTGATTACTCCTAGCATTTACTTATATCACATTGGGCCACAGGAGTAGAAATCATTATTTAAACGAATAGTTTCCTCAATATAATTTACCAGCCAAAATTTCCGATTGAAAAACAGTTGAGTGACCCATATTAACTAATACAAAATAAACCGAAACCTGAGATTAGAAAGTTTTGTGTGCATCGATTTAAAACCTAACTTATTAATATATGAACAGGGTACTACTTTTAAAGAAACAAATCTATATGTATAAAAACTATTGAACAATTAGAAACACCTCCACTTGACTGGTAGAAAATATGGAAGCAACAGAAAATGTACAGCTAACAGGCTGGGGAATTCACCCTATTAGTGTTATTATTCTACACAACCAGGTGAAGATAGTTCCTACAGGTAGTTAATTTCAGGATACAAAAATTTCCGTCTTAGTAACTTCATTTAGTACTGGATTATGAAAATATTCAGGCGATCAATCTTACTGCAAAGAATCTGGAGACGAACTCAAACATAATTGACGTATTATTTCCAGCATATACTTAGTGAAACCTATTTTCAATGAACTAGTTCATCACTGTCTTTAGGAAATTTTATTCCTATGTTTTGTACTCATATCGTGGTAAACGTTTTAGTGCTTCAGCTAATCTCTATGCAATTTGATTGGTAGTAACAGTAACATTATCGGTATCAGTAAGAAAATTGGGAATCGAAGAAAAGTGTCATCATGGAGAATACACGTTTGGCATAAATTTATATTAGAGAAATGAATTACTGATAAGTTTACTTTACTAGATGTGAATTAAGGACGCTCGCTTAATTTCTTCATGGTCTAAACGTACTTCAAAGTAGTAATTGTCGATTACTAGAAAATCATAAAATACGTTCTTTTCTACGGACACTCAAACTATTTGGTGGCAAAAGTACATTCCCAAAATAATTCAATTTTCAATGGATCGCTGGTGTTTTTTCTAGAGATTTTAATGTCTTTCATTATTTTATTTAATTATTTAACATAATATTGCCCATTCAAAAGTCATCAGAAACTTGATCAAGCTACTTTCATAGTGTTGTATTAATATGAACAAAGATCCGACATAAATTACCAAACAATAATATCGTCGGACAACAATCACAAATTCTTGTAGCTGCATTCAGGTTACAAATCACGTAAGATATGGGTATTTAACGTTGAAATGATTCAGAATCCAGTAGGTTACTGAAGGTGAAATGGTAGCAATGATGAATTAGATACTTTTATTAACAAACTACGGGATTTATCTGTAACTAAGAAGAATTTATTTCGCGTTTTATGTATATGGTCCCATACTTATGGTCAGTTACGAGTACTTTGTGTTCTTAACTATGTGACCCGGCAGGTAGCTTCTTAGAATTGCCTTCGATAGTAAAGCAGTAGTAACAGGCATACTTCTAAACTTTAGTTATCTGATCAGCTATAATCAGCAACAACCTTCTACATAGTGCATATTTCTGCTTTGCGACATTGTACAAGGAACTCGGGTCAATCACACGACTAATATTCATAATTCGTAACGACATTGTATTCCGACGTTTTATTGAATTAAAAAGAAAAGACGAATCACAAATATTTGAGTTTTGCTTTCTGAAAGCAAGCTACTTTCATGCAGTTGACAATAAATAAGTTAAACGACGACATGCACTTCCTTCATCGTTTTCTTCAATAAAATAGTAATGAAAACAGAATTTAATAACTAATACGAACATATGCAACTAGTTTACGTTAAGGCACATACACAGACACAATTGAACAAGAACGACAAACACACAAGCTCACATTTACTTTATTAACAGGGCATCACTACTCTGAAAGGAAGGTACCAGAGATGCTGTCAATTTACATGTATTTAAATATCATAGTTATCCTGTGCATAGAATAAAACGCGTAGGGTTCCTTCACATAGCTTTCATCTTCCTGAAAGATGAAGTAACTCGCTGGATTCTTTGGCATAATAAACAACATCTGGATCTGAATCAGAGCCCAGTTTTTCTAACGTTGGTTTAACAAATGTCTGTATAGTCGATGCATCCAGAAGATGGCCAATTTTGCCCAAAATTTGACCAACCTAGAATGTGCAGAAAAGGCATTCGAAAAGTGTATCACTGTTAAAACTATATATTGCGGTAAACATCATCAATACTTTATATACAAGGTTTCATGTTATGTGTTTAACTAACTACATATCTGACATTGATGAAAAGGTATGACATATACCAGACCCAAAGCTTTAATTTTTAGATCAATTTAATAATAGTGACCTCGGTTAGACAGATTTCAACGAACGACAGTAATAATTACAGCTTAGTCTCTACCTACGTTTCTCTGCATAAAAACAGAAATGGATATAAGCATCAAAGACAGCTTAGTTATGCTTATAATAACACTCATATGATGAATATTATTCTTACTTTGAAACGAACATTTGGTACAGGATCTTGACCCAGTTGAACTATAGTAGGAAGTAAATGTTTCTGCAGCAATTCCGATCGACAAGACTGAGCTTCACCTAGCTGGTGAAGGGATGCCAAACAAATCATTCGACGAAGATAATTGGGATCGTAAGAGAGTTGTATGAGCTGTAAATTTTTTTAGAAAGTAACGTATAATTGTCAAATATTTAATTGTTTGGCATCATTATATTAAAAATAACAGTGAAAAAGTTTGATGCATTTTGTGTGAATTTACTTGTGGTATTTTTATGAAATGATAAGCTAACCATTCCGTAGACTTATAAATTTTCCCAGATATTTGAACTGAACGAATCTTCATGTTAGTCAGTCCTTCATGTAGTGGATCTTTAACAAATAAAGTGACACTATGGTGACATACATGGAATAAAAGTAAAACAAATAAACTATCACAAGAATAACATCCAAGACCACATGATTTGTTACAGTTAAACACTTATCAACTGGCAAAGACGATAATTTATTTCTGAAGAACTAAACAGATATTCTGATCTCTGAATTCAACTACGTCAATGACAAATATCATTTGATACCAACACAAAAATTGTGACCCCATGAAGTAAGAAATCAGACCACTGTATAGAAAACTTTCGGTTCAAGAATGCAGTAAAATAATCTGGGTCTAGAAAACTGAAATGACCAAAACTAATTTAGCAGTTTATGGGCAATAATTGACTACAGTGCGACCTGCCAAATATTACCAAACCACTATTTAAATGCCTACATTTAATTTAGTTGCTTATTTACTTACCAGTGCTTTTAGAAGTAGCGTTGGTACTGAAGCTTCACGTGTATGGAATGAACAGTTTTCAAACAATAAAATAAGATTAACTATAAGAGTTAAAAGACCATAAGAGAGTAAGTACGTCGAAAACTCACACCAGTGTATATGTAGGCAAATCACAAACAGGTAAACAATAATTCCTTGGACTGGAGGTTTCAGTTCGTAGTAAAATCCCAATGACCATAGACTGTATGCAAAACACGGCATTATGAAAACACATGGATTTAACAGAAGCTTGAAACTCGTTTGACCTTGACATAACATAATAAATTTGTTCTGCTCAATTCTCTACGTCATTTGCAGTCTAGTCCTTTTGAAGCAGACAGAGCAGATAAATATTCCTTAGGAATATGTGAAAGAATTAGTGAATGAAACATTACAAAAGAAGCTAATGACTAATAACTTAAAAACTGCTCGAATAAGGCTTTACAAGCAAGAGTTTATATTCCCCGTTCGAGGGCATAAATAAAATTCTTGGTAAAACATGGATAAAGCAGTTACAGTGTGGTCAGACGATTAATATCATGTACTATACATTCTCGTATATAGAGAATCTATCTACCAACAATAATCATTTCACATATTTAGCTTATAATCAATATGACAACAATCCATTACAGAAAAGATTTAATTTCCTACAAAGAAAAGTATAGCAAGGCGAGGGTTTTCCTTAACAAGTAAAACGGCTATTAGTTGAAAAACTCAATTAACGAATAGTACCCGGACCAATGTGTGAAGAATATACCAAAATCTATCCACATTATGGGTCTTAAATAATGCTTTAACAGTTTGTGTATGGAGGTGGGATAACATTAGGAATGTAGCATATCGTGAAGTGGAATGAACTTAATTATAAAATATCAAGCCATACTAATAGAAATTCGGAATCACGTCGTCCTTCAAATTTTCACTATAATGAAAGAATATTACCGTAATACAAGGGGTCTTGATCACTAGTCACAACCATTGTATTTAGTGGGTACATAAATAAACTTGTCTTTGAAATTGAGTGACGAAGACTCTACAATGTTATGAATTACTTCACAATTACTGAAGGCGTACAAACTAAATTCCAATTAAGTCAAGCAATGAAGACAATAGAACTTCTGAAAAAATTGTGAATCAAAGGAATGTTAGCTTTTCGTGTTTTTTCGTGGAAACCGAAAACTGAATTTCTTGACGTCACATCATACTACCCAGGATGACTAAACAGTATTAGGACTAAGATCTGATGACGAAACTCGAATGTTAATTGCATAGAAGTGCATCATGATTTATTTTCAGCATCCTAAGGATTGTTTTAAAGAATGTTATGGTTTTATACACTTATTAAACGACAAAATGTCTCTCATCCTCAAGAAAGCAAATATTCACACTTTATTTAAGATCTATGATCACCTAGGAATAGTGGATCACGAGCATTACGCACTTCGCAAAATCCAAACGTGAGATTACGATGACAACTGGATTACACTCGTTTGCAAAAACTAAAGTTATGCAATTGATCAATCTACAGGAGTTTCTTAATCTACCCATTTACTTTGGTATTACGGAGTAGCAGCATAAAATATTTGTGACAAGTTTATACCTAAGGTTAATATTTTTGATCAACAGTTAGGTGAGTATGATTCCCATCAACAGCATCCTGAATTTGAGTTATGCAAGTATCACCATACGTTTTGCATTGATTTGTTCATTATTCCATAGAAAATGTGTTCTATGAAGATAATACTTACCAAACAGAAGAACAGAGAGAATAAATATTTCTTTTTAACTAGTTTTTCATCATAGGTACACATTAACGTATATGATTTACGACGATAACATAATATTAGTGTAGTAACAAAGTCAAATAATAATATTATAATTAAGGTCAAAATAGGGAAGGGTTGAAGAAACTTCTATCAAGTACAAAGATGTATAAATGCGGATACCAACGTGTTCAGCGGTATGCGATTAACCCACTATGTGCTAAATTTGGTGGAAGTTTAATTCAAATTAAGATGAGGTCTTACGCCCATCAAGTGAACGAGAACGTATGTCGTAGTCATTTTCAACTGTTCTTTACTTAACCAGGTCAGTGGGTTGAAAATGAACTTTGATTCAACACATACATTATAAAAACTTTTTCTAATTTCAAAGTTTTTGGTTTTTACGTGATTTCAGTACTTCTCTCTTAATTTCCGCAAAATTAACGAATTATAAAAAGCTTTTATAAATTTTCTTATTACATAAGATCAAGCATTGACAGTGGGAAAAACTTCAAGAGAAGGAAATATGAGACAACTATATGACAACGAAGAAACCATCAAGGAAATATTGTTTGCCAGTCAAGGACAAAGAAGGTAAGTCAATCACTGAGGTTCAAGAACAACGGCACTGGTAGGTAGAGCACTGAACCCTCCAAGCATCAAAGCAGGACACACAGACCCTCCTACAGATGTCACTCCACCAACGATCGAAGAAATCAGCATGGGCATCAGACAAATCACGAGTGGGAAAGCAGCAGGATCTGACGGCTGAAGCAGTGAAGTAAGACATAAAAGTAACTGCAAACATGCTCCACGTTGTATTCATGAAGATTTGGGAGGAAAAACAAGTGCCGACAGACTGGAAAGAAAAGAGATCTGAGTAAGTGCAAGAACTACAGAGGCGTCAAACTACTATCAGTACCATGAAAAGTTTTCAACGTAGTGTTGTTGAACCGAATGAAAGATTTAGTAGACACCCAACTTCCATAAGGGTTGGTCGTTCATAGACCAAATCACGACATTACGGATCATTGTTGAGTAATCGCTTGAATGGAATTTGTCACTACAATTCAACTTCCTTGACTATGAGAAAACGTTAGACAGAGTGGATAAGAGAACTCTATGCAACCTTCTTCGACAATATGGTGTACCTGAGGAGTGAGTAGGTGAGTAAATAAGTAAGTATTCTGACAGTCGCTTAATTATTTCTGATTTTTGCAAGTAAATACTTTGATTATTACAATTACCACATTCTATCACTTAGTTATAAATGGACTGATTTCTAGTAACTTGTAGAACTTACAATATTATTATGTAATACTGTTAGTCTATTAGTAATATATTGTCGTTACAAATTATATACACCTTAATATTTTTTTACTACCGTTGAAGTAAGTGTTTCTATTAACTTGCTGTTCATCTTGTGCTAATGAGGTATAACAACTTGTACTGATGCATATATGTGCCTGGTCCTACGTTGTAGCTGACTGACTGGACGAGTCATGATGAAAAACTAATTGAGAAAAATTCACCCTCTCTGTTCTTCTATTCACTAATTGTCTCAATGAAAATTATGTTTATACTCAGATATAAAATTAAAAAACGTTTAACAAAACTTATATCTCACTTCATCGGAAGTCATTAAAAGTGAAGAAAGTAACGAAAATCAACGATAAGTCAGTGAAACTTCTCCATAGTCCTTAAACATACGATTAGGCGAGCATTATAGATGGTCCGTATGCAGCAATGTTTTGTAGCCGAAATTGGGGTTCAGAGGCAATCGGATATGCTTTTATTCAGCTTTAGCAGGAAACAACCAATAATAAATGAAGATAATACGAAGTTATCATAAAAAAAGAACGACTCTACAATTTCCAACAACAGTCAAACAAAGAACTGGTATTTGCGTTGATATTATGTGGAATGACACTGAATACAATAAAACAGGAAAACTGAAGGTTAGGTTTAATGTTGTGTAGTTTGTACAACAAGCAGAAACACTGAAAAACTGTTGTATTGTTTTGATCATTGTCATAATTCAGAATGTCTAAAGGAATTCTGAGACAAAAAAGTATCAGTTTAACAATAAAAGAATATGTATTTTACAATATAACCTACAAAAAATGTAATGTGAATGAAATACTAATTTAATGACCTTGATCGACCAAGCGATTGAGTAAAACAATATGAAGAAAAACACCAAAAAGCCATCGACACCTGGAGTTGAAACAAGTTTGCTATGATAAAAATGATCAGCTAAGGTGAAAATAGAGCGAGATCGTTTAATCGCAAGACTGAAGAAAAATTAAAGAATACTGAGGATAGCTAACTTACACGAGGGATAATTTGAGAACTGGCCCAATCGACTCCAAATTGATCCATAAGTTTTCGTAAATTTGTTACAGCTGCTTCACGCACAGCGTATACATCGTCTACTAGCCAACCCAAGCATAAATTTGTGAGTCGCTCGTTAAAACATTGCAAACCAAGTTGACTGGCTAATAGTGGCATATACTCAATTATTGCTAGACGAACACGCCACTTTGTATCACTGGCCAATTCAACAATGGCAGGAAGTAGACTTTGACTAAGTTGGGTAATTCCCATAATTTGATTTACACACTCTAAATTAGATATAATATTTAAACGGACCTACAAAAAGTGAGACATATTTTCGGAAATTAGATATCATAAAAAAGAAAACCATATATAATTCAGGATTCATTGACAATAGGTAAATAAGTCTATTATTTTGCAACAATTACCACACAAATAATAAGATAACGGAACTGTGCGAACGACAAAATCGTAAATTTTTAGAACGAGTTTCTCTCAATATTCTTCACCTTAGTAAGATAGATAATGGTTATAAGAGTAAAAAATGTCTTGACGCTTTCAAAAACTACAATTAGTACAATGAGTTACTTATGCTAAAATTTCCTATATGTAAAAACAGAATTATGGAATTCGGGTAACTTTTGTAAACTTTCCTAGCTCTTCATTGTACGGTACTACAAGGTCACTTTTCCACCCATAAAAAGATTTTTGTCTGTTATGTCATATGTAACCGAGTAAAGTATGTGTAAAATAAGCTTACTCTGATTTTTGACGTACGGTAGAAAAGCATGGACAAAGTGATTACACTTGAATTGCTCTATTATAATCTACACACAACATAAATATTTCACTGATTAAGATTGAAACAAAATAAACTGGACTTCAAAGCCATAATAAAACTATTGGACTTTTCTTAATTGTTGTGACCTACATATGGTTATATAAGTATTATTTTCATCAACCTACCAAACAAACTTATAGTTACATAAATGATACTCAGTAAATGTTTCCTAATTTTATTCTTGCTGATAATCAACTGACAACGAAAGTTACATCATCCGGATAATAGTTTAACTGCACAATAATTCAGTACGAGTAGGAGTGAAAAACAAGCAGGAACTTTATAATGAAATCGACCAGACCTAGCAATTTGTGTGAAAATTAATAACACAGGAATGTACAGGGTGTTTCATTTACTACGACTGATCAAAAGTAGGAAACTATGAATCTGAACTTACATCTGGATTTTCGTCCTTTAATTGAATCAAGAGTAATGGAAGAAGATGTTCTAATGTATTCTCCTTGCCCAGCAGCGGAGCTAAAGCCATCATAACACCGGCCAGAGCCGTTTTTACCTGTAAATTAGTTTCACCGACCATTTCCCGAATGATAGGTAACAATGTTTTCATAATTACAGATTCCCGAATATCAGGGGCTAGAGACGAAGCAAACTTTTTCAGTTTGCCTGCAGCCGCTGCGCGAACTTCTCCTTCTGGATCTTTCAGCAGGATCTAGAATTGAAACAGAAAGCTTTTTATATTAGAAACGAGTGCGTTTTCGGTCAAAGTATTTCACAAAAAGCATTTATTCATCTAAACATTAATAGTTTAAAAGTGTACCGCTAGTGAATTGACGCTTGAATTCCAATAACTGGATTGCACTTCTAAACAACACCTCACCTACGTCGCTTTAGGTAGACGAATAGTATTGTTGGTCTTCGCATAAAGTGTGGCTTAATGCCAAGTAGTCAAACCTACTTCTATTAACAAGCTACATGCGAATTGCACTTAATGAGATGTGATTCACTGACACAAAAGAAGCTGGCCTCAAACTATGCAGTAGTAACATGAGCTATTATTGTTATCTAGTGATGGACGAAAATGTCATCATTACATACACAGATTATGAACATACAGGCTGGAATGTGCGTTGGCCCAAATTGCCATACTTTTCACACCTGATTAGCATGATGAAATAGAAAAAGAAGAGATGGGAATGTAATATAACGGATGGTTTAAAATCTCACGGATATTACGATAGTACGTCGATAAGACTAATCACGTTATGTAAGAACCAGGATTCACGACTCAGAACAGAGAACCAGAATAACACTAGATAATACTTTATTCAACAAAATTACAAGCAGACATACTTAGTGAGTCCGGAGTAGAAATCAATGACAGGAAGAGAAATCAAATATTTAATAGACCGTAGGCTGTGGTTTGTCTGTTCACGCTCAACGACTAATCATATTTTTCTTTCGCTACCACACATCAGAGTGATGTAGTAGTAATGACAAACAGACTAAACATTGAGAATATGGTTTGAGAAGACAATGAAAATGTATGGATGAACGAATACTGGAATTTAAGATCAGGATGAACGGTGAGCGCACCAGCGCCATTGTCGGCGATTCTGAACCATATAACCACTAGATAAATTTTCCTGTTAGTTAACCATAAATCTTTTTGCTGTATGTTGAAGATTTAAGAGCATTAATTAAACCATGTAACAAGCGAAACGAAGCTAACAGTAGAGAAACCAAGGATGGCCATGCATTAAGCATACCCAATTCTATTTCTTTAACAATGTGATCGAAATCCTATTCAGAGCGCATATACACGTGTGTACGAACCACTGAATTAATCGATGGTTAGTTAAACACGGTAAACAGTTTATGATTATTGAAGTGGTTGGCTGTTATTTACATTTCAATATCAGGATAGGTATGAAAGCAGAACGGAAATCGGTATATATATGAATGTTACTGGATGCGAGTTGAGCAAATATATAGATTGTTATTTACATATTTGATCAATTTTAATTAACTGACCACTTTATGCTTGTAAACTAATGGGAATACGGAATCGTTTAGACTCATGTTTCATAAAATACAAAACAAGTCTAATAGCATGTTTCTTTAGTTTCAGGTCATCGATACTTTCATTTATTGGGAAAGATTGACGTTTTAGTTAAAACAAACACCATACCAGTTTTTGATTGTGACAACGCTACCTACTTCAAGGGTTAGATGCCACACCTTAATTCATTAGTTTGACTGTGAAATCGGCTTCTATGAAATTAAGAGAGGGGAAAGTGGAATCTAAATTAACAGAAATAACACAGAAACCAGTAAATGAATTCCTTTTGATTAAACATCTTCAAAAGAAATCTTCAAACTACACTGAGTAGCTTCCCTTGCTAATTAAAAAAATCATTAATTCTGTTCATTCCAAAACGTTGAATATAAATACAAGCAAATCCCACTCATTTTCATAACGTTCATATCTATCCGCTTAAGTACCTTGGACTTCTTTCTCAACTCCCACTTAAAATAGTATATTTCGACGTAGGAAATGTTTCGGACTTTTTAATAGATGCCCTAATCACTTCAGATATAACTTCCCTCCGCTATTGACTAATGTATGGGACTATAAAGTTAATGATAATGAATGAACGTTTTATCACTAAAAACGGTACGCTTAAAGCAGAATTGTATCTATAATCTTTTTTTGAAATAAGGGGAAACAATTAAGGTACAAATATCACTCTAAAATTATGGAGAAAGCTAACCTGGTAAACGTCTACCAAATGCTGTCCAGCAAGTTGGGGTTTTACTGCAGCCTGTAGATCAGTAATGTGATCAGCTAATTGATAACGGACTCGCCAAGATTTATCTTCTGCAGCTCCCCGTATAAGAGGAATGATGTGTGTCAAGACATCTTCGGTAGGAAGAACTTCAGCAAAATCTACTGACGCATTCACACCCAGTAATCGTACAGAGTCCTGATCATCCTGCTAAAACAGAAAACAATTACGATGGACAGCAGTAGATAAACTCGAATTTTTAGACTCTTGTGGTTTAATGGAAATGTAGAGATACATTGGGCTTACTTGGGAAAGAGGAGGTAATAGCGGTAACAGGTCAGAACGTAACGCATCTAGTTCCAAACAACGAGCTAGTTCCCCGAGTCGGTTAGCAGCTGCACGCCTGACCATAGGAGTGTCGTCAGTGCAAAGCTGCTTAAAGGCACGACGCAGTTCTGCACGGACAGCGGTAGAAGACTGTCGATAAATCACGCTAAACAGTCCACAAGCAGAAGTGCGGCTAGTAAACCAGTCACCTGTTGCCAAACGCTTGATCAGTGGGAGAAAGTGAGTTTCCAAATCCTAAAAACAAAAACAAGCAGACGAGTTTCCATTAATGACTAGAATTGTATATGTTCAAAGCACTACAGTATAAAATCCTGATCTACACATATACTATATATGTAAAATATATAGACATTCCATTTCATTATTTAGGAGGTAACGGAGTTCATCATGATCACATACCATCATGCTTGGAGACATACTGTAACGGTATATTAGTCCTTTCAATTGGCGTGAACTTAAGTAACTCATTTAACAGTGGTGTTGTTTGTGAAATGGAGATGACGAAAAGCGAATGTCCTGTGCTTTAACAGGGTTGGTGGATATTGAGGACCCACCTATGGGAGTTGGAAGACCCTGATTCCAAGCCAATAATGCACATGGATTCCAGGATCCTGAGGAAACAAAAGGCATATGAACTTATTGTTCGTTACCGGCTATCATGGAACTGCATCTCTTAAAGTTACTCTACTGCCTTTTGGATTAAACTTTCAGGTCAAAGGCTCGAGGTGTGGTCCCTTAAGAAAACCACCTGCTTCGGTATGGGCGCCCAGGGAGCCTTCACACAAACCAATGATAACTGCTGGTCACATGTTGGTAGATGCAGACTACTTGGTTGGGGTCCGCGTGACTATCGTAACCAATGGTTGGAGACTCTTGGTGACGGCCCAGAATCGATCATAATGGCGTAGGTGTATACACTCTCTGTCTTCCCTTAAACTAAGTGATTAAAATCGCTTCATGTCTTTCTTTCTACGAACTAACTCTTTCTTCCTGTATTATATCCTTATACAGAATCTTTCTTTTATATACTACTACCTTTGATGTGATTAGTTCTATAAATCCGGTGTTCATCTTGTTGTGCTAATGCGGTATGGCAACTTGGACCGGTGCATATATGTGCCCGGTCCTACGTTGCAGCTGACTGATTGACTGACTGCATATGTATTTGGTGCCCCCATGTACAGATGTTTATGTGTTCAAACAAAATAAAAAAGTCACAAAATTGTTTACTCGTCTAAGTTACACTGTATAAGGGCTGGTAGTATTGATCCTGGATACGTGCAGCAGTTTTAAATGATATGATACTGTTATTCTACATCAGATGCACCTGAATCATAAGGAGAACTGTGTTTTAAAATCAAACGAAATGTCAGACAGCCTGCAAGAATATTACTCAATACTCATCCCAGCAAAAATCAGAATACTACATTACTTACATTTTTCTCCGAAGAGACTATAAGTACAATTCATTAAAAGCAATAACCATATTTTTCAACTATGGCATTCGTAATACTAAAACGTCCGAACTCGAGGTTATACAATGTTCAAGTTGATGAGTTACATCATGGAAGGTTAGCTCAGTGGCTAGGCCACTCGAATTTCAACCACTGAGTCGTAGCTTTGAACCCAAAACTTGAGATGGTTTATAACGAATTAACAGTAAACTACAGGACATATTATGACTACAACTGACAACTAAACTGGAGGCTTTAGGAGGGGAAGGTCTACTTGACAACCCAGTGTAAGATAATTGAACGGACGATAATGGCAGCAAGACATACTATTAACGTGGGATCTACCACGAACGTGTATCGGTCTGTTCTCACAGCCAAAGATAGCACAGAGAAAAATCAATATTAGGAAGGGGGTTATCTAAACCAGTAGAAATACAGACATGAGAAATTCAGCTCAGAAAGAAAACAAAGATCAAGAAATGAAAACCACGAATGGTACAAAACTCAATATCAAGTACATAGAAAATAAATATAATTATAACTTATTATGAGTTATTATTGATCATACTTCGTTATCAAGTCTGATGTAGATATAAGTAGCAACGTCTGCAGATTTCAATATGTTGGAGGGATTCCAAGAAACAATGACGTGGCTTGCATAAAAACGAGAATCCCAGATATTTACTCCAGTGAGATGCTGCGGAGATATTCTATACATTTCTAAGCCCCGAAAAGAAACCCCATATTGATCTTAGTAGAAAATGAATATACTGAAATTTGTGGGGAAGTCTTAGGAGAATTTTGAAACCCGAAAAACAGCGGCAATTCAGTATAAGGAAAACTTAGAACATGATATTTAAGAAAACCCAGTCATTGCCACAGTTCTAGATAACTGGAGCACAAACCAAGTCGTCAACCAAGAATATTAAGATGAAAAGTAGCTACAAAGTGACCAACTCGTAATCAAATGCTCTGAGTTAATTATTCGCATTGCTACATTGTCACAAAATGTTTAAAGAAGAAAAGGTGATTATAATACGATCCTTGGTTGGCGCAACCCTTAACCCAGTGACGCTGAACAGTTGTATTTCATCAGAAACCGGATAAACAATAGTCGTACGTGACTACATGGAACTTAAAAAGGACTATTTTGGGGCAGTCTAAACAGCACTACCTGCATGGAACTTATCCAGTATGTATCACACTTGTAAGCTTTTATAACACTCCAAAAGATAGTTACGTTTTGTAGTCAGTATATTATGAGAAGGGTCAAGGTCCCGAATTTCGCTCCCAGCCCTGAAGAAAATATTGACGGAGCTAGGATGGATATCGACACAACCATGAATGGATGTATGGTTATAAGAAAACCTGAAGATAACGTCAAAGCGTGGATCCAGTACAAAGCAGAAAAACTAACCTTGGGTGAGAAACTAGGTGCAAGTGTTCGCAACGTCTCCACAGCTTTATCCCGCACAACCGTTTCTTCTGCAGATGCAAGTCCTTCCAATGGTGGTAGAAGACAATGGACATATTCAGGTCCTCCAACCAATGGAACAAAGTCTGCCAATTGTTTGGCCATCTCCCTAAGTACCTCATCCTCATCATATATGGTATCGGTTAGGAATGGAATCAATTCTGTTCTTGTCCTCTCTGGACCAAGTGCAAGAGCAATAGTAGTAAGTTTTCTGATGCTAGCCAGACGAGTTTGCATTTCCTCATTTCTTAACTCATCAATGAGAATAGCAATCGGGAAGAGACTCTCATCGGTCAAATCTGCAGTCATCTTTCTGAATCTACGGACGAACAAACCAGAGTTAAGATGAATAAATTTATTTTAACTGAAGCTACGAGTTTAAACACATATTTCAAGGAGAAACATAACATGATAACCATAAAAACAAAAGCCGGTCACATTAACTGGTCATATATGCCTTATGAATACCAAATAGTTTTAAGGGTGAACTTGCTTAATCATTTATCCAGATAATACGTTTATATGGTGTAATGAGCAACTTGATCAGTTAGCTAAAATCGCCACCGAAGTAGATTCCCGACGAGATTCACAGATTAATCAGCTTCACTAACTGCCACTGTCCAAATAAAAGTATATAACCAACCAATTAATAATATTTAATTAAAGATCGTTTCTATCTTACCGTGTTGTTAATGTTACAAAAGGGCTTTTTGTTGCGATGAGAAATAACCCTGAGGCACTTATCGTTGACCAATTGACAGGAAGCAGGAACATTGAAGGAGTGGATAATGATAAGCCATCTTAACTGATCAAGACTCCTAATGAACAGGTTGGCCCCCAAATGCCCTGGTACGGCCGAGAGTGGGGAGAGGCCGCTCTCCTTCTCGAAATGCTCTCACATGGCCATGCGTATATAACCTCTGCCGGGAAAGTCCTACTCACTGCCTTCTCGTGGCATTACTGTTGTTTACGAAAATGAGAAGACAAAAAGCGAATGTCCGGCGCTTTAACCGGATCCAAAATCAATGGTGCACATGGGCTGGCTACAGTATCCTGAAGGAACAAATGGCGTATGAACCAATCGTTGGTCACCGGCTACCATGGGACTGCGTCTCCTCACGATGCTCTACTGTCTTGTGGATCAGATCTTCAGGTGAAAGGCTCGGGGTGTGGCCCCCTAAGAAAACCACCTCCTTCGGTTTGGGCACCCGTGCAGTATCACAGCCCTCACACATATCAAATGAGTTCTGTGTGGCGCATATGTATTTGGTGCCTCCCTGGACCAATATCTATGTGTTAAAATAATAAATAATGAACAGGTTGATTTTAAAATACTTAGTACGAAAAATGTGATTCAGTGACTGGAGTAATCAACAGAGCTAACCCAAAGTCGACTTACTTAACTATCATACTGTGTTAAAGCATTGACACCACTCTTTTGTCAAAATGACTTTGACGTAGGGGACGCTTTGGACACAAGGAGTAACTGAACCATTTGAAAAGATGACTTAGGACAATATAATTCAACAACCTGGTCACTGAAACGGAAATCATAAGTTTGACACCTTTAAAGATCGGTTAGAGGAGTTAACCTTCATGGGTTACATCAATATCTGGCGAAATTTTTGCTGGCGCAAAGAACTACGTAGAAGTATAGAAATACGGTGATGAACTGTTTATTGTCCGTGACAGAAGTTACCATTATTTTATCAAAGACATCTACTGTATTTAAAAGCATATTTGTGTGTAAACACAACAGGAATACTGTGCCAATGTAGAAAGTTATGGGTAGTTAAGCTAAAAAGCCCAACGGAAAAATTGTAGCATTCACTATGGTAATGGTAGGTAGTATGAATTTTCGTCCTAAATGTTAGGAACCTTAGTATCCACATCAGCTTACAGGATAAACTTTAATTACAAAAGTCGTTTCTAAAGACTCCGAATGGAAATCCTACCTGTTGTGGAGTAAGGACCCAGAACCTGGGGATTTCTGGACTACGCCAAAACCTTCCTAAACGAATTAAAACAAATACATGCTAACTCATTGTCACGTCAAGTGGCTTATGACACAAATCATTAAAAATAATTTAATCGTAATTACTATCTACCATATGACCAAGTTGTGTTTTTTTCTTATCACCTTTAGGAGTGGTGTAGATGTCAATCAAATAGAGTTAGTTCATGGCATTAAGTTGCAAATGAGCAGCTTTCCATTGGAATCATTATTTTGGTCCTATTTTTCACGGTGATTTTGGTTTTCTTTTGACTCAAGGACTAAAATGCCTAATAATATTTATTTGTAAAGCCTACATACTTCGTCCCACCTAACTTTGATAGGATTACACTTAACAGCTAAAATATATGTTTGGAGAGTTTCTGGTCTAAGCACTTAACCCCAGTTGAGTCCAAGCCCCGGATAATGTTAAGCATAAACACAGCTCAATAAACTAAGAGTTTTGGGTAACTGGTTTTATAGTCTAATTCTGACCAACCAGGTGGAATTTGGGTGGTGTATGGTTTGTCAACCTTAACTATACTTTTTATCACTTTCCGGCATGTTACGTCCAGCAAATACTCTCGCACCTTTGCCCTCCGGTAAATTTCATGAATAAATTCTATGTAGGCTACCATAGCCTACCATAACTTTTATGGAAGTATAGACATGGATGACCTTTGTTAATACACAGATCCTCGGTTGCTAACTTATTTGCTTACTCAAGCATGCTATTCCCTTTATAGCATGAGTCACCAACTAAGTCTACCCTTGATTCTTCTTTCCAGTTATTCTTAACTGTTGCTCACGGACATGGTGTCTGCCTCCCATAATGAACTTACGTAAACCTTGGCCCACCTCTCTTACTTCTCCCATAAAAATTTCAAGAGGCTAACATTGCGGTTCAGCTTGCTAGCTACCAGAAATTGTATCTTATCCACGGACAGTCCCTTCATAATGTCTTCTTTAGCTGTGTTGTTGTGTTATCTGCCACAGTAGATTATGTCTGATGATCTCTGATAGATGAATCTGAAGTATCTTGTGTAAACAGCTGTCTATGAGTACCTGCACGTTTTGATTACGGTGGCGGCAGTACGCGTAATTCACCGTCTGGATAGCAGTTGTTGCTCATGATTGTTGGAACTAAACTTTGAACCTCCATATAACCGTTGCTTTCTTTTGGTCTCATATGCCGAAGAATAAGACGCACAAGTGCATCCTAGGGTTAAATATCGGTTTTCTGTGCACCATGTGTGCAGGTTGCTGATCATTATCCAGATTGACTTGTATGGAAGGCTCAACAAACATGGTTCAGACGGATTATCAATTGCATAAAACCGCGAGAAAAGGATATTGAATAGCATGATACTCGCTTCGTCATCGTAGACATTACCCTCACCAGATACATGAGAGAAGCAAAGGATTAGATGGAACAACGAAGACTAACGTTGACAAAATACGCAATGTAAGTAAGCATTCTTATTATTGTTGGGGAACCAGATATTAAGTCAATTTGTGTTTTGTCAGCATTGACTGGACAGTTTGAAACAATCAAATTTACTTTGGTGTTACTGCAGTTATTACTTGAATGTAATTTACGAGTTGAACATTGGAGACTAAGTCACAAGCCTTAATTTTCATCTACAATGATGGTTAGTAAGTATGTGAGGTCATGTTCCGGTCTCAATTAGGATTGAGATATTCATGAAACTGGAGTGATCAGAGTTCCAAAAGGATAGGTTTATGTGTTGGACGTTGAGGAGATTTGATTATCTGGAATTCATTTGTACGGAAAGCAATAAGAGGGTACGTATGTTTTTCTTGTTATGGCGGATGACGAAGAATAATTCTCCAGTAATTTATGGTCATGGTATATCAACCACCGCGTACTACATGAATAACCGTTTACCGTATATTAATATCGAATAACTTCGTAGAAGACAAAAATTTGTTAACTTGCACTTTATAAAATGCTAGGGTTAACATCGATTATTGAAAAAATGTAAACCCATAAAGGATGCAACTACGCAGAAAAATGACATAAAAGATTTGACTTTGTACAATGAAACGTAATGGATATACGAGTATTTACAGCAATCGTATAGTGGTACTGACGCGGAACCACACAATCATTGAAGCCGGACAAACGGTAGTTAGGAATATGTACATTATCAGTTAAACATCTAGCGAAGGTCATAGGAGCTGAGCTGGAAACACTCAATCGAGACAGCATAACTCGACCGTGTAGGCAGGGTCACTAAGTATCACGGCTTCCTTTATATACCAAATATATTATCCTGTCCCCAACCGAAAAGTATTCTTCAGAAATTCATAAAAAGTATGCTGCAGAATGTACGGTAAGACTTCGACATAAGATCTTATGGAATAGGTAGTCATATCATAGCAATTCCACCATATTAGGTTGGGTCAGTTATTATAGTAGGATAAATTAATGTACTTAATACCGACTTAGACAGTGATTTTACACTGATAAGACTGACTGAACAGACGCATCCACTTGTCATTGTGACTTTAACGATTGATCTTTACTTATTTTAACCCATAATTTTATTAGTCAGTTGATAAATGATGGTTAGTATTATCACTTAGGTAACTAGCTATTTACCACCACAAAATATCAACTACAGTTTTTTCTCATGTGGCAACTGCCTACAAATTTACGATTGCCGAATTCCATGGTCAAGCAGAAAACACGAATACCAGAAATTTAATCTGAATTTGAACTTTGAATTTCCTGCAAGCTTAGATGTCGTTTAGAAAGTTCGTTCAGACAATTCGATGTGTTTGGCTGGAATGACTTTTAGATCTACGTCGAACTAACCTGCAATGTTGAGTGAATCCAATAACTAACTTGTTAACATGCCATATTTAATTCAGATTCTCTTGGATTTATATCGCATCGGCCAATTGGCTGTTTCAAACCCTCATTATGTAACTGCGAAAGTAATTCAGGCGAGTTCCATAATTGCATTAAATGGTTTTGTTCTGTTTATGATGCTTGGTAACATTTTGTAGATACCTTCACACAAATTATTTTTATATTAACTCACTCTCATCGATTTCTAGTAGAATTCATTTGCAAAATGGCGCGACCTGATATAAGAACATTATTACCTAAAATATTCACACTATCGTTAATAGCAGGTCAATATCCCGAATCCTTGAAGGCAACACATATTGTACCGTAACAGTAATCAGAACGGAAATACATGATCTATTTGGCCGAACAACAGTCTGTACTGCGGAAACAGACCTAATTACACTGAACGAGGTTTGAAAGAAGTTGCGTGACATTATCTGAGTTTGTTAGAATGTTTGGATTTTAGCTTTTTACCTGAACCTGCGTCACTGATGAAATATATATATTACCAATAATAATCATCAATTAAAACTTGAACTGCTAGCCTGACTGACATTGTTATTAGATAAAAGCTAAATTTCCCCCTATTTTCAGACTTTAGAATGTTCAGTACTCAAACCTTCATGACTTAATAATTAGTTAAATTGATATAGAAAATTAAGAATTGGATGTCGCATAAATATATAATTTGCCAGACTGTGTTGTTACACGTAATGCATAATCTATATATTTTATGCTGAAGAGAACCCTAGCAACACACAAACATATGATGTTCCGCATGCTAGTGATAGTGGCTAACTGACAAAAGAATTTCAAATGGACGTTTTTGGATCGTTAACATCAACAGAAAAGTCAATTAAAATAAATGAGTTGTCATGGTTGATGAACGCCATCTACATCTATACTTAGCTTACGGTAGAGTGATGATTTACCATCAACCATAGACTGAGTAGTTGGACAGTAATAATTTTCGCCAACTCTGTAGTATTTTCCCCACGCTTTCTTTCAATAAGGAATACTTCTCAGCTTTGTAGATAAAGAATAACTAAGAATTTGGAGTCGGTAATCTTAACCAATGGTAACCAACGTAACTACGCGAAAAGATTCCTGTTTTTCGCGGTTTACTTCCTTACATAAAGTAGGTATCTACCTTAGATGGGCCGTCTGTGTCCACCAACCCAGTTAAAGCACCAGACATTCGCTTTTCGTCATCTCAATTTCGTAATCAACCCCCACACCACGAAAAGGCAGTTAAGAAGAACTCCCTTACAGTAGCTCAATACGTGTGAACATGTGGGGGCATTTTGAGAAAGGGGGCGGTCTATGCCCACCCTCGACCGTACCACGTCATTTGGAGGTAATGAGCAGAACATAGAAGACATTGTGTCCGGAAGTTGAAGGTAGACTAGAAAGAGTGATTAGCGAACTGCAAAAATTTAGAAGAGCTAAGGACAAATTTGTTGGAGATTTCTCGTTGTCAACTAACTCTCCACGAGTAATATGCGTAAGTAATAAACAGAAAATGTCAACGTATGAATTCACAATTATAATTATTATTATTGACTGCAATTTACTCCATTAACAAGTTTATATCAATAGAAGACATCATCCTATGAAATAAACCTTATTATTGCGGCCAGGAGACTGTTATAGTATTCTTTTATTACAAGCATTCTCGCTAATATATCGATAAACAATGAGGATAACAATGATACTTTTTGCGGCAAACTTGATAATAAAATATATTGCTTTATTTCACTATCGTGCTTTACCAGAAACAAAACCCTCTTTTCGTCAATCTCCATGAGTAAAAAAGCATTAACTTCCCTTGGATTTATTTGGAAGTAGAAAATAAGCTTTCCTCATAACTACTGAAACCTGAATATTTAACTGATTTATTTTCTTCAGAAACGATTTTTGACTACATTGGTGGACAAGTAAACCCGTGAAATAAGTTTATATACACCATCATGCTTGTCACGTAATAGATTTCATTATTTAATAAAAGATTGATTCCATATAAATAATCACCTGTTTCTTTGATTCGTCCAAATCACTGACTTTAAAATGGATAAATGTATAACATTCCACAAAGACGAATTGGTTAAAGTTGTCGCACTTTGCAACACAAATGGAAAA